CCCCGCCGGGCTGTGCCAAGGCGCGCCCGGAGCTCCCCGCCGCCTCGGGCTGCCCCCAGCAGCGGCTCGAGGGGGCGAGGCGCCTGATTGGCCAAAGGGCGCCCTCTTCGGCCCAATCCGGGCTGGGGAAAGGCGGGGGGGCGGGCGGAGGGCCCCCCGGGGAAGGCTGCGGGGGAGCCCGACTGGACCGCCTGAACTTGGTGGGGGACCTCAGAGGTCCCCTAGGCCACCCTCCAGCTGGACTTTTAGGCGACTCTTCTTCTTTCTGAACCCGGGCCGGGGACACTGGGGAGGACAATCCAAGAAAGGAAATGTAAGGGTAATTTTAGTTTATTATTCCCTATCTGGAGGTGGGGTGACCTCTGGTCTGCGGGCTGGGTATTTCCCGGTCCTGGGCCGTTGGCCGGATCTCAGATCCAAGCCTATTTGATAAGGGTTGCCCAGCGTGGAATCCGTCAGGAACGGACCTTTCCTACGAAGCCCTCCTTAACTTGGTCACCCTTTACGAAATGAACCACAGCACTGTGGGTTTACACCACACACGAAGCCACCCATCGCAGTTCAGAAAATACATTGCCCGGGTTTCCTCCACACACTGAATGGTAATGCTGGTTGTTTAGCTTTGGTTTAAAATGTTGGGGGACCCAGCCCCCAACTTTTTAAACCAAAGTTAGTTGACTTAGCAAGCTGGTCTCCTTGGAATTGTCAGGGAAGGGTGGCCTTGTCATCTGGCATCACGCACATTATCACGCACGTGAAGGACAGGAATTGATGCCCATGGTGTCACGTGCCCCCTGAAAGCCCCACAGATGCCCCTGGTGGCTGGGAATTCCCCTGAAGCATGCCATCGGTGAGGTGGTGAAGGTGTTGGACTGGGGAAACCCAGGTTCAAGTTCCCCGTCAGCCACAGAAGCTCATTGGGTGACCCTGGGGCAGCCCTGCCTACCTCACAGGGTTGTGGGGGTGGGGGTGGGGGTGGGGAAAATAGGTGGAACACCCTCTTCAGCTCTTGATTGAAGGGTGGAATATAACTCTTGACAATATAAAATTGTCAGAACAATTGGTAAATTTAAAAAAATCTTGTGCTAACTGTGCAACCTGGTTTTTCTTTTTTTAGCAGAGAGAGTTTGAATCTTTTGTGTATCCCATTTCAGGGCAGTATTGCTTCAATGTAAACTGTCTTAGGCAGATCATAGTCAGGGGAATCGAGTGGGTGGGGCCAGAGCAAAAGAGGGTGGGACACTGTCTCATCATTCCTTCCTTCCTTGGAGTTAAAAGAGATGTATCTCTTTGACAGTTTAAATCAGCATGCTGGCTGGGGAATTCTGGGAGTTGAAGTCCACGTCTTAAAGCATGCCAGCTGGGGAATTCTGGGAGTTGAAGTCCA